ATAACGCAAAATACAAATAAAATAAAAGAAAGAAAACAAAATTAAATAAACTAAATAAAAAACTAAAAAAAAAAAAAAACTAAAAAAAAAAGTACAAAAAGCTGCCGCAATGCGGCAGCTTTTTGTACGGTTGCAAGTTTGCATGCAGAGCAAACTTGCAACCCACCTCACTATTTAAAAAAAAAAAAGAAAAAAAACAAAAAGCATACATGGCATTGTCCAACTCATCTTGCCAATATGATATTGGCAGGGGTAAGGACAGCCTAAGATTTTAATATAGATTATTAATATTGGGCGTCTATTTTTACGTATTGCGCAATATAAAATACTAGTACTCAGTAATATATATATATATATATATATATATATATATATATATATATATATGCACTCAGGTGCGAATAAGTGCTCAGGAGGGAAATGCGAACGAATCAGCGCACGACACGTGTCCAGCTCTAATAACTTAAAAAAAATGCGGTGGCATTTTCGTAAATAATTGAACATCAAAGTGCAAGTAAAATTACTTACAAGTGCACCTACTTTCACCTATAAGTGCATGTAATTTTGCCTTATTAACATTCACTTTCCGCAAACATTCATCCACCTGGGTGTGCTTATAATTATATGTGCAACTATTTATAACTATTGGTGCAACTATTTATAACTATAGGTGCACCTACTTTCACCTATAAGTGCATGTAATTTTGCCTTGTTAGCATTCACTTTCCGCAAACATTCATGCACCTGGGTGTGGTTATAACTATATGTGCAACTATTTATAACTATAGGTGCAACTACTTATAACTATAGGTGCACCTACTTTCACCTATAAGTGCATGTAATTTTGCCTTGTTAACAATCATTGATCTGAGTTCAGCGGGTAGTAATACCCCTGAAAACCACTCGCAAACATTCATACACCTAGGTGCAACTACTTATAACTATGTGTGCAACTACTTAGAACTATAGGTGCAACTACTTATAACAATAGGTGCAACTAAGTATTGATGCTCAGTGTAAATTTTTACTTGCACAGATAATACATTTTACATGCACTTGTAATACATTTTACTTGCACTTCGATGTTCAATTATTTACGAAAATACCACCGCATTTTTAAAAAAAATCAATGTTTCTCATCCATTAGATCTGGACACGTGGACAGACAGAATCCATTCCTATTTCGCGCCTGGGCGAAGCATTCGCACCTGAGTGCGATTATATATATATATATATATATATATATATATATATATATATATATATATATATATATATATATATATATATATATGCGAGTTCAGGTGCGGCATCACCAATAGTTCAACAAATATACACCATCAACGTTAGAAAAATACACCACAAAAAACATAGACAAATTAGGTACGCATTACCAAAAACACACCATTAGGTGTGAGTAAAACACCATACAGTGTTCGAAATACACCATTGGGGGTGGTGAGTTATATGGTGTATTTTTTTTGGGTCTGTTGTATATTTTTTGATGTTTTGTTGCATTTCATTGTGGTGTGTTTTCCTTACACTGTTGGTGCATATTGCTAACACTGTTGGTGTATTCTAAAATTCCGCCGCACCGACGCACGGGAAGACCCCGCCGCATTTGAACTTTTTCATACACACACACACACACACACACACACACACACACACGAGATCAAATGCGAAGGAGATCTTCAGTTAAAAAAATGTGAAATCTCAACCATTGATCTAGTCAAAATCAATAATCCAGAATGAAACAAAAAACTTTTAAAAAAATGTGGTGGCATTATAGTAATTTTGCTTAAGTTCAAAGCTTAAAGTGCGTAAGTTTAAAGCTTAAGGTGCGTAATTAAGTTTATAGCTTTAGGTGCGTAAGTTTATAGCTTAAGGTATGCATGTTTAAAGCTTATTGTGCATTATTTTTCAGCTTAAGGTACATAAGTTCGAAGTTTAAGGTGTTTAAGTTTAAAGCTTAAGATGCATATACCAAAACTATTTGGTCTAATGGTATCCAGGTTGGACTTCCATTTGGAAGGTTGTGAGTTCAAGCCTCAGTGGAGGCGTTATTGGTTCTTTGTGTTTTAGTAGGTTGAGAAAGTATATGAATAGATACTACAATGTAATAGGGCTTAAGGTGTGCATATCCATGTTGTCAGGAAACATGTTTTTTTTTTTTTAATAACATTTCCTTCATTTTGAACCGTTGATCAAGATTAGATTAGATCATTCGCATCTATGTCGCCCTCTCTCTCTCTCTCTCTCTCTCTCTCTCTCTCTATATATATATATATATATATATATATATATATATATATATATATATATATATATGAAAAAAAATTACAAAAAACACGCACACACACAAAATCAAGTACATATACTACACTCATTCATAGTAATTCCAAAAATATGAACTTCAAAATGAACAAGTAGTGCAAAATGGATGTGAAAATTGTTGATGAAACTGAACACATTGCGGAATCAGTATTCGGACTACTTCCAGAGTCATTGATGTTACTATGAAGTAAACAAGTTATGGAACTAGAACAAGAGATACTACTCATGAACCTTCTACAAATATAATAAATATTAACATTTTGTTCATCAATACTTTCACATGTGAATCTGCGACACACCTCACAACACATGAAACATGTAGGGGAAAAAACTAACATTGCCAAATATCAACATGCGCTTGCAAAATCAAGAGTTAATAGTACAACTAAGATCCCAGTCATATACCCAAGAAGGCAAATCTACAACCTCCTACACCATAATCTCATTGCATGTACGTTGTCCTCTACGTTATCACCAATAACCAATTGCACATGACACACTATCAATAAAAAAAGAAGAAGACAAGTACTGAAGATGAAAAAAATGACAATGATACCAAAAGACAATTACGATGACTTAGAGAAATTCAAACCAAAAGTAATATTTATTTAGAGTATCATTTTTACAAAGTCACAAACATTTATTTTAATGTCAATTATAATTAATCTCTCTTATATTATCGATCTTGTATTCATATACTTTGAGTTACTCCTTTAAATAAACAAATTTCAACATTAATTTACATATGTATGAATATCTCCTATATAATCTTGTATTGATATACTTTAAAATACTTATTTAAAAATAAATATTGAGTATTATTTGACCATTTGCGTGGAAAACTAGTATATGTTATAAAAGAAAATGATATAACTCTTTGATTCCCTCTTCGCGTTGACCTTCTTCTCGTGATTCATCAGTTTCATTTAAATTTGATTATCTTTTTGTTTTTCTTCCTCTATCTTTATGTTCTTTTTTTCACATGAAATGAATGCATAATCCATAACAAATCAACATACCTGCTCATTTAAACTGTCCACTTTGTTCATTAAATTATAGTTTTTTAAGTGTTTAAAAAACTGGAGGCTTGATGTCTCAATTAGTCGAGAGATTAAATTTACAAACCATTTAATAATTGAATTAAATGACCAAACTTGTAGAAATTAAAGGGTACGGTATAACTCATAAATAATGAAGAGACAGAACGTATGATTTTCCTTTAAAAAATTAAGAGATCGCAAGTGATATAAGGAACCCAGTGTAAAAGTTTAAAAAATAAAAAATGCACTATAAGTCTATACTTATACAATTATACCTCCAATTCGATCTCTTTTACTTTAAAATCTGAACATACTCTACCATATTAACATATTTATAATTCACTATCATTTTCTCTATATTTCTAGAATTCTAGTTCACTCTCAAAATATAATAATAATAATAATAATAATAATAATAATAATAATAATAATAATAATTAAATTTATTATTAAAAAAATTGCAATTGAAATAGTGACTTGGCTTTTAAAAGAACAAAAATATTTCTAAATCTATTGTATATTTACTTTTTTTTTTTGTGTAACCCAGATTTTCTACCATTAAATATAGTGATTAACTTTGTCGCTAAATTGTACTAATTGAGATATTTACTGCCTTATATATTATCACATACAACATTGAACTATTCATAGGCTGTGCCCTTGGGGAGCAACTGTGGAGTTGTGACTTGTGAAATGTGAATGTCCACTTTTTATCCCTCTCAATCACAAGATTCACATCTCAAAATTACTTATGAGATGGAGATTCAACAGACTGCTTAATCATTAATGGAAAACAATGAGCAAATGAGGAATTCATTAATATATTCATGAGAACTACACATGATAGATCATCTTTAATTTGAAGAGAAGCAGAAATTATTGCATGATATTATGTTGTCGATCTTCTCTCATAAATTAATGTTATATAATGTCTGCATGCATGTGAAAGATATGGGAGAGCTCACATCAGAATTTAAACTGCTAAACAAACACATTTTTCAGTAAATCTGATGCTGTTAGATCTGGAATTAATTTTTGTGATAGAGCTAAACTGTTAAAGTATCGACTCCAGTACCTATTTGAAATTCTTTTTTTTTTTTTTTTTTTTGACGACAATGAAAACCTGTAACTACTACCTGAAAGGTGTATATTTTGTTTATGAATTTCGTATTGTGTATTCGCAAGAATTATTGGGCTAGTCTGCACACGTAGCCCAATTGGTTCATGGGTAGTAGATTCTGAGATTTGTAGGAGTTACACTCAGTAATTATTGTGCGGACCACGGCTCAATATGATGTCATTTTTGTGTTAAAAACAAATTATGTAAGGTCAATAATGACGTTTGTTGCAACTATTTATGTGTTAGAATAATGAACTTTCTGGGATAAGAGAATGTTTTATAAGTTAGAATAATGTAGTTTATGTATTAGAATAATAAATCTTCTCGGATAAATAATGTACTTTATGTATTAGAATAATGTTTCGCATTCAATTTATACAACGGGCTGAATTACAAAAAGTATGGATGGATTATACTCGGCCCGATTAATTCAATAGGCCCAACCCATGATTAAACCCTCGCTAAACCCCACAATCGTACATCGAAATGACCCGGATCCGCTTAAACCTTAACCCGACATTTCGACGCCTCCATGAAAGCCTGAGATTTGAGCTCCCATCTCCGTCTTCGATCAGTAACCTACGCCCAGAAAATGGCATCTCTCTCTGTATCAAAAGCATCCCGTTTGAAGCCTAAGCTTTCATCGCCATTTTCCCTGAGATCCACCGCCTTCTTCTGCGCATCTCCTTCATCGTTCTCCCAAAGTGCAGAGCCCCAAGTCGCCGGAGTTCAGGACGCCGGCACCTCGCCAGCTCCCGCGAGGCCGTTGAGAGGTAAGCACAAAAACCCTGAGAAACTCGAGGATGTTATCGGTAGAATGATGGCTAATAGGGCATGGACGACCCGTTTACAGAACTCGATCCGGAACCTCGTTCCGGTCTTCGATCATGACCTCGTGTACAATGTGTTGCACGCCGCCAAGAACTCGGAGCACGCTCTCCAATTCTTTAGGTGGGTGGATAGGGCTGGGCTTTTCCAGCACAATAGGGAGACGCATTTTAAGATTCTCCAGATTCTCGGCCGAGCTTCCAAGCTTAACCATGCTAGATGCATACTTCTCGATATGCCGAAAAAGGGGGTTGAATGGGACGAGGATTTGTGGGTTGTGATGATTGAGAGTTATGGCGAGGCTGGGATTGTCCAGGAGAGTGTGAAATTGTTTCAGAAAATGGAGGAGCTTGGGGTTGAGAGAACTGTGAAATCATACAATGCTTTGTTTAAGGTTATATCGAGGCGAGGCCGTTATATGATGGCTAAAAGGTACTTCAACAAGATGGTGAAAGAAGGGATTGAGCCAACTACCCACACATACAACCTTCTGATATGGGGATTCTTCCTTTCTTCCAAGGTTGAAACTGCAAGTAGGTTCTTTGAGGAGATGAAAAGCAGGGAAGTTAGGCCTGATGTGGTTACTTATAATACCATGATTAATGGATTTATACGTGTTAAGAAAATTGAGGAGGCGGAAAAATTCTTTGTGGAGATGAAGGCAAAGAATTTTGAGCCATCAGTGATTACGTATACGACGTTGATAAAAGGATATAATTCTGTTGGACAAGTTGATGACGCGTTTAGATTGTTTGGAGAGATGAAAAGTTTTGGGATCAAGCCGAATGCAATAACATACTCGACCTTGCTCCCTGGGTTATGTGAAGCAGAGAAGATGTCTGAAGCTGAGAGTATATTGAAGGAGATGGAAGAGAAGTATATTGCTCCAAAGGAAAATTCCATTTTTGTAAGATTAATAACTGGGCAGTGCAAGGCGGGTGATTTGGATGCTGCTGCAAATGTACTCAAAACTATGATTAGGTTGAGTATTCCAACCGAGGCTGGGCACTATGGTGTCTTGATTGAGAACTTCTGCAAGGCGGGCAGTTACGAGAGGGCAATTCAATTGCTGGATAAGCTCATTGAGAAGGGCATCATTTTGAGACCCGAGAATACTTTTCATATGGAGTCAAGTGCTTATAACCTGATTATTGAGTATCTCTGCAACAATGGCCAGACTGGAAAAGCCGAAGCCCTTATGAGACAGTTGATGAAAACAGGTGTTCAGGATCCGGTTGCATTAAATAACCTGATCCGTGGGCATGCAAACGAAGGAGCTCCTGAATCAGCGTCTGAACTTCTGAAGATCATGGTTAGGAGGAAAGTTCTTACAGAAGACAGTGCGTATAAGTCACTTGTTGATAGTTATTTAAAGAAACGAGAGCCTTCTGATGCCAAAACGGTTTTGGACAGTATGATTGAGAACGGGCATCTTCCAGACTCGTCCCTGTATAGGTCTGTTATGGAGAGCTTGTTCGAAGATGGAAGAGTTCAAACAGCCAGCCGTGTGATGAAGACTATGCTGGATAAGGGAGTGAAGGAACACCTGGACTTGTTAGAAAAGATATTGGAAGCTCTCCTGATGAGGGGTCATGTTGAGGAAGCTCTGGGTAGAATTGATCTGATGATGCAAAGTGGCCTTGCACCCGATCTTGATCGTCTTTTATCTGTTCTGTGTGAGAAAGAAAAGACAATTGCTGCTTTGAAGCTCTTAGATTTTGGTTTAGAGAGAGACTTTAGCATCGACTTCTCAAGCTACGATAAGGTGTTGGATGCACTTTTAGCCGCTGGAAAGACCCTAAATGCGTATTCAGTTTTGTGTAAGATAACGGAAAAAGGAGGAGCTACAAACCACAGCAGCTGTGAAGAATTGATCAAGAGCCTCAATAAGGAGGGTAACACAAAACAAGCAGATATTCTATCAAGGTTGATCAAGGGAAATGGCAGCAAGAAAGGAATGAAAAAGGTGCCCACTGCCTCCTGATTTTTCTAGTTCTGTTTTCTCTGGAACTTTTGGCTTAAATTATTCTCATATATTGGAATTTTCTTATGTAACACAATAATAGAACCGAGTTCAATATGACAACATTAGTGTATTCAGGATTTATGAATTTAGCCTAACTTTTGGCTCAACTTTATTGAAAGTTTTCCCTTACATTTGTTGTTGTTATCTCAAGGATTGTTTTGCAAAGCCATTCTTTGTTGATTTCTTTCTATTTCATCCATAAGTCTTTCAATATGAAGGATACCCAATGCCGTAATGAAATCTAGCCAAAAAAAAAAAAAAAAAGTCTAGCAAAACCCCAGCATATATTCCTGTCTCCTCGGGACATTAGTCTAGTGGATGAGAAGCATCACTTAAAGATTTGCTTCTAGCAATAAGTTAGGATTTGATTCCCGTCATGAACAATGGAGGTTTGGGTTGGGCTCTTTGTGTGCAAAAGTGTACAATTTGGTGTTGAATTTTGAAGCTAGATTGACATAATTTATCTTCTCATGAGTCTGGGGCGGGTTCATAGGGTCCAAGATATAGTCTTCGGAAACTTGGGTTATCAAAAAAAAGAAAAACTTTACAACCTTAAACTTTGAAGCCAAGTTGATTCTGTGTAATTTCATGCCCTTATTCTTTGTCAGACTTGTCGTGATGTTACAATTCTTTGGTTGAGAAACAGAGTACTCTTTCCAGTAGAGAGTTTCGCGAATAGGAACAGTTCATATGGATTTTGTACTGCAATGAATAAGCATTTAGTGAATCTAACAAAGCAAATATCAGCTTACGCCAAGAAGGGGGACATGGGACATGCAAGAGTACTGTTCGATGAAATGGGTCACAGAGACACCGTTTCTTGGAATGTTATGATCAAGTCGTATATAGAAAACAACAGACTAGATGATGCAAGAGAACTGTTCGACGAAATGCCTGAGAGAACCTCATATTCTTGGAATTCAATGATTACGGGTTACAAAAAAGATAGCAAGCTCTACGCTGCATTGAAGCTCTTTATTACAGTTATGCCGGAGAAAGGTGTTGTGAGCTGGACATCTATCATCACCGGGATGTGCCGGGTATCAAGAGTTGACGAGGCGTGGTGGTTGTTTAAGCAAATGCCAGAAGCTAATTCGGTTTCTTGGTCCTCAATTGTCTCAGGGTTTCAACAAAATGGATTTCCCGAGAAAAGTTTACATGCGTTCAAGGAAATGTTGGTGGCTGGATTTCAGCCAACTTCTCATGCCCTTTGATCCAACAATCTATTTGGAGGACACTGCTTAATGGGTGCAGAATTTATGGCAATCTGGATCTGGGAATTTATGCGGCGGATCAGATATTGAAACTTGATTTACCCTACAATTCCAGTGCATGGTTGATGGTTATTGACATGCATTCTTTGGCTGGGAAATGGAAGGAGGTTGCAGAGATGAGGAGGCATATGCAGAGGGAAAGAGAAAGCAAAAAAGAGTTGGGTTCTAGCTTCATTGATGTTAAGGGGAAGATTCATTTGTTTACAACAGGTGATGATTCTCATCCTCAGACAGATTGCATTTACCCAGTCATTGATTTGTTATCTTATGAAGCAGTTGAATGCTTCAACATTTGTGATGGAAACTTTAGCTAATTGTCAAATAAGCCTCGTAATCTTTGTTTCTATGTCTGACCGTAAGAAATGTCTATGTCTGACTGCAAGGAACGCTTAACTATTTCATCAATTTTTATTGTAAACGTTTCAGCCTATGATAAATGAATTAGCTTATTTACTTAAAAAAAAAAAAATAAAAGCCTCGTAATATTTTGTTGATTTTGTTGAGATCGACCCAATATATATAAATCCTATGACCGTGCCGAAAGGCTTCCCTTGTAGGAACCATGGTGAATTTGAATAGAAAATGTAAACTTTGTTGATCTAAGAAATGGAAATAATTGTTCTTGTAAATTCATAACATGCCCCCCTTCCCCATCTTTGGAAAATTTATAAACTACATATTTAGTACAAATTATTGTTTTTTTTTTAGTACTACTGACTCTGTTACATATTTAATACAAATTATTGTTAAAACATTAATTTATAATGGTCATATAAAGATAGATAGTGATAGACAAGGTAATTACAAATGCCATGTGGGTAACGGGACCCTAGCCCACAAAAGACGAAATCCCTCATCTCCCAGTTTGATAGGATTGCGAATGTGCACATTGAGGTGATTCAGCGGCCTATTAGGTGAAAGGAGGACCTGTGTCGAGGAGCTATATCCACAAGTGGGTCCCACACCGCAACTGTAAGAGTTCAATCTTGCGGTCTTGATCACCAACTGAGCTGAAGGCTTGTAGTGAGAACTATACATACGCCTTTGAACAAGGGTCTATGCAGACATGCTCATCATTTACACTACTACTTTTGCTATCTTATGCAAATTAAACTCAAGATTTCAGTTCCACAGTTTGGGTTAATGGGATGTCAAAAAACATTTCAAGACAGGTTTACATGCAAGATACTAATTAAAGCTAGCAGGCAGGTCAAAATCCTTCACCCAAGTCTGAACATGTATGTTGATGAGAACCAGACATCCTTTGAAATGTAATGCAGTTTTGTCTGCAATTAGGCCCAGGTGTCAACGTTGTACTTCTGCACCTTTCCTCTCATTCTCTTTTCAAACTACCTTTGTCTGATCATATACTCATAAACCATTGAGTCAATGTTCTACAACTTGATGGAAAAAATGTGTTAGTTGTAGGCTGGAAATTAAAGCATTTGTGGATGGCAATGAAAATTTCTGGTTTAACTCTAATTATTCTTGTTCCCCCTTTGGGGTGGATATATAGCAGTACACAACCCAAATGTTCAGAAAGTTGAAAAGGGGCAATTGCTAGTAACACTTTTGACTCCAAAGGATCCATTCAAAAAGCATACCAGTTGATGATAAGGTTTCATAATTGGGTAATCCCAAAAGAAAAAACTCTGCTACTATATAGTATTCAGATCTTAAACTTGATTAATTATAGCGTACAATGTTGTAAAAATCGGCCTAGGTGGCCGTCTAGACACTAGGCGCCCCTAGGCCGAGGTAATTTCAGCCCTAGGCGGCTTTTAGTTGGGTAGTTGGCTGACCGACTAATAATCGGTCGACTAGGCGCCGACTTGGCCGAGTTGAGCGTCTAACTTGATCGAGTCGGTGCCTAACTCAGCCGAGTTGGCGCTCAACTCGATCGAGTGATTTTTTTTTGCCTACTTGGCTATTCCTCTTCTATATTTCTCCAGCCTGCATATACTCAACTAACCATCTAACATATGCAATTGACTAGTTTGTGGCATTATAACAGTCTAACAACTCCTAGCCCTGAGTAGGAAAAGCGAGATTATAACAGTTTAACAACTCCTAGTCCTGAGTGAGAAAAGCGGAGACGATATATACTTGGATTACTAGGCCACGTACCTAGGCGCCCCCCGGCCTTCTGCAACATTGATAGCGTATAGTAGGAGTACCCATGGGATGTGAATGCGATGGTGCAAGTCTTTTCTATTTCTAGCTTAATAAAAGTTCTTTGGTCTGGATGTGTAGAGTCTTAATGTATCCTGACTAAGGAAGAAAGAAAAAAGAATAATTATGGCATAGGAGTATGCTAAGTACCTCGTTTGAGATACCAAGATAAACATCTTGGTCGTCGTGTACTACATTGATCAGATATAATTATTACGACTTAAATTTGACTGCTAACAAGTCGATACTTTAATTTACGATCTTATTATGTAATCATTGGTGACCAAGAACTTGAGTTCATGGTAGAATGTTGTTGGCTCACTAGAAAACAACATGCTTTAATCACCATTCATGTTGTTTAATGTGGTTGTTCTGCAGGCTTTGATCTGCTGGTGTTTGAACCAAATAAAGCTCTCAAGAAAACAAAGCTTGTGAGTTGTGACTATAGCCATTATTGCCTTGAACATTCAACCTTGATTATCTTTGACCTGAAGCTAGGCAGGGACAACTTGGTCGGTAACATTATTATAATATTAACATTAAACATTTATGACCAAATATTGTGATGACGACATAAATAGGTGATTATAATGGCAGTCATATTCTATTAGCCCTCCTATTTGCTTAAATAATACTATATAGAGTTAATACCTCTAATGGTTCTCCGAGTATTAGCAATTTATCAACTGTGGTCATCCGAGTTTTGAATGACCTTCAATGGTCCTTCATGTTTTAAAAAAATAGCCACCCGTGGTCCTTTTAGGACGTCTCGTGGTCATTTTAAACTCAAATTTTTTTAAGAATTAGAACCACGGGTAGTTATTTTTTAAAACATGGAGGACCATTGGAGGCCATTTAAAACTCGGATAACCACACCTGGTAAATTACCAATACTTGGAGGACCATTGGAGGTATTAACTCATACTATATATGTATTATATAACATTTTTTTTTACTACACGATAAGTGGTTAATATAACATGAGTTACGTTCTTATATCAAAAGATTACGAATTCGATTCTTGCTAATTTTCTCTCGGTTGAGCCCGTCGTAGATGGCTTCCAAGTGTGATTTACATCTCCCGTTACACATGACTTTCTTAATGTTATTTGCGAGTTATTACTTATTACATATAGAAGGTAGCTGAGTTTACCTGGCCATCCAAAAATAAATAAGGGGTTGATGGAATGAATGATTTTTCACCGACAGGTTAACATCATATTTGATTTGTGAAACATTGATATGCTTGTTGGCCTAGATGTTTTGAAACAATTCTGCCTTTTTCATTATCATTCATTTATGGGGTTTGGTTGCTAGAATCACGCCTAACAAATTTGCATCATTTTAGTCTTGTTTTAGTAAAGCCTATAGTTATTGATTGTGATTATGATTACAATTACGGAAAGTGTGATTTATTTAATTATTATATTTTGGGTGAAACCAAAGAGTCAAATCTAAGTACATCAAAGATAGAGAAAGAAGGAATGATCGACAAACCATTCCATACAATTTGTTAATATATATGAGACTCAATTTCAAATCGTTTAACAAAAAGAAAAATTTAAATAAGAGATACTATTAATAAGCTAAGTAAGCCAAAGGAAGAAGGTGTGTTACATGTTACTCCGTAAAAAATTATCACTTTTATGCAGGTTAGTGTCAATCGGAGGATATTTTTTTTATTTTTTATTTTTTTCCTTTTGTTTTAGCATATTTTGCTTTAAATTATGTATATATTGGCTAAGGCTCTGGTGCGAAGAAGGGTGCAGGTAAAACATCGGGATAAATTTCAGCTTTAGATCAACTGCTTTTAGGGTCCGTTTGGAAAGCAGGAAAATTACTTCTGGAAAATGATTTCTGGAAAATGAGTCATTTTTCGAAAAATATTTTCCGTTTCCAGTGTTTGGTTACATTTGGAAAACTGTTTTGGTGTGTTTGGTACATTTTCTGGAAAATGAGTAGAATGGTATTATTAAATATTTTAATTATTTTATTTTAAATTAAAAATTCATTTTAAATCTTAAAAAAAAAACAAAAAAAAAAAAAAATTGATTTCCGGCGGAACTGGTTTCCGCCAGAAACCATAGCTCTGGTTTCTGGCGGAACAGTTCCGCCAGATTTAAAAAAAAAAAAAAAAAATTGAAAGAGAAAGGCGGAAAACGACTTCCGCCCAAATTTGGCGGAAGTCATTTTCCGCCAAATTGGGCTCATTTTCCCCAGTCAACGGAAAATGGATTCCGTTGACTGGATTTTTCAGGTGTAGCCAAACACCAAAAACTCGGAAAATGACTTCCAGAAGTCATTTTCCGGGTTTCCAAACACAGCCTTAAAAGAAATTTGCCACCTACGATCTTTAAAAATGTACACCGGAAGGCATAAAAATATGCATTAGAAGACAAAAATGTGCACTAGAACGTACAAAGATGTAAAACAATTATTGAAAAGACTATTTTTTTTTTTTAAGATGTAAAACAATTATTGAAAAGACTAATTTTTTTTTTCAAAAAAAAAAAAAATTAAATTTAATATAGGATAACCACTGAAACACAAAGAACCAATAACACCTCTACTCAGGCTCAAACTCACAACCTTTCAAATGGAAGTCCAACCCGGATACTATTAGACCACATAGTTTTGGTATCTTCAATACAAATCTAAATGGCCATAAATAATAAAAGAGCAAAAGAGCTAGATTCAACTCAAATTAGTAATTAGTGATCAAGATTAACTTTTTTTTTTTTTTTTTTTTTTTAAAGTTTGCCACCTACGATCTTCAACAATATGCTCTTGAAGGCTCAACAATATGCTCTGAAAATTAAAGCTCAACAATGTGCTTAATCTGGCCTGGAAGGCTCAACAATGTATAGTCCAAAGCAAAACAATATGCAATTCGAAGGCACAACAATGCATGTGCTCTTTAGGCTCAATAATGGGTTCTAGAAGGCTCAACAATATGCTATGAAAGGCTCAACAATGTGTACTCTAAGGCAAAACAATATAATATGTACTCCGAAGGCACACCAATGTGCTTTGGAAAGTCAGTAATGTGTACTGGAAAAAAATTAATGTGCTCTAAAAGTCACATTAGTGTGCTATGAAAGGCACAACATTATCTCTTAAAGACAAAAAGAATTAATTTACT